ATCACCAGCTTCCTTGTCCCCTTCTGCCTTCTGGCCCTTGTCACTGGACTACTGTACCTCATTAGTCCCATTTGGTTTTACGGGGCTGTCCACTCCCAGGCCGAAGGGTGAACCTCAGAGATAACTTCACCACTGAGCTAAAAGGGTGTCTGGGGGCCATACTCTCGGGGTTTCTCCAGTCTCCTTTAGGCCAGCAAATCTGGTAATTTTTGGCTAATTTTTGAAAGTAGATCACCAGGCCTTTCTTTCTAGTCTGTCTTAGTCTGGAAGCTCCTCTGAAACCTGTCCACCAGGGGTGACCCTGCTGGTATTTCGAAGACTTCTGGTGGATATTACATGCATATGTGATTAGAAGATTTAAAAACAGCAACAGAGAGTCCCGGATGGAGCAGGAGAAAGGTGGGGTTCAGAACTCAAATTCTAGTAAGAAGACCAGACTTAATGGTCTGAGACTGGAGGAACCTCAGAAAGCATGGCCCCTGGATTCTGTATCAGCCCAAAACTAAGACAATTTCCAAGGCCAACTCTTCAGACAGGGATTGGACTGGACTGTGGGACATAAAGTGATACTCATGAGGAGTGTGCCTCTTAGCTCAAGTAGATACAAGAGACTAAACGCGCAGCTTCTGTCCGGAGGTGAGATGGGAAGGCAGAGAGGGTTAGGAGCTGGTTGAATGGACAGGTGGAATCGGATGGAAAGAAGGAGTGTGCTGTCACAGTATGGGGAGAGCAATCAGAGTCACATAACAATGTATGTATACATTTTTGTATGGGAAATAATTAAAAAAATAAAATTTAAATACAGAAAGGCAGAAAATAAAGTGTAATAAAAACCTTCCCTAATCTTCTCCTCAAAAGGTTACAACTCTTAAACATTCCTTATGATTACAACTAGAAAAGTAACACATTTTCTGAGCTGCTGAGGCTAAAAGAAGAAATTTTAGATCAGAATCAAGATTCAATTGGTAGGTGCTTACTCCAAAAATGATATAAAGTGCTTCAAGAGAATCACTGCCCAGAGAAAGGATTAAAATCAGCAATTCTCACATAATAATCTTCCGTCAGGAGACTAAAAGAGAAACACTGCTGAAATTTTTAATTTTCTTTACCTCTCTAGCAAATGCACCAGAATCTACAAAGTATTTTTTCCAATAGTCCTCCTTAAAACAATTCTAAACATTAACTTCAAGTCCTATGGGATTATTTAATACAGCCAAAAATTTCAATACAGTTTTAAAATCTGTGGGCATTTAATCATAGTTCTACTCTGTCCTATAGGGTCGCTATGAGTCAGGATCGACTCGATGGCAATGGGTTGGTTTACTCAAAGATAAGAGCTAAGATAAACATGCTTTTTCAATGCAAGTGGTAGTCTTCCAAAAAACTCAAGACCATTACAATGTACAATTTAAAACCATGGGGAATCCCAGACAGAGCTGGAGAAAAACGGAGAACAAAATTCTAACTCACAAAAAAAAGACCAGACTGGAGAAGCCTGACAGAGACTGGAGAAACACTGAGAGTATGGCCTCCGGACACCCTTTTAGCTCAGTAATGAAGTCACTCCCGAGGTTCACTGTTCAGCCAAAGATTAGACACCCCCATAAAACAAAACGAGACTAATGGGGCTCAACAGTCCAAGGACAAGGACTAAAAGGCAGGAAGGGATAGGAAAGCCGCTAACAGGGAACCCAAGGTTGAGAAGGGTCAGTGTTGACATGTCGTGGAGTTGTTAACCATTGTCATAAAACAATATGTACACTATTTACTGAGAAACTATTTATTCTGTAAACCTTCATCTAAAGTACAATAAGTAAATAAATAAGACCATGGGGAACAATACTTTTTTGTAACCATCACTGGATTAAATTTTAAAAGTTAGAAAGTGGGTTTTTTTTTTTTTTTTAGAAAAAGGTAAGTTTATAGACACTTTATAGATTTTTACCTCTTCATCACATGTAAAATGATGAATAGAAATGTCATTTGGTTTTTGACAGAGTTTTATTTCTTGCTGGGCGTCCAGCTGTAGAGATGGGTCCCAGAAGTTGCGTTCATAGGCCTGCATGGTCCAGTCCAGGATATCCCAGATGATCAGCTCTCCAACATGGGAGCCAGTGACAAAACTCAAATCTGGGAAAAGTTCACATATGCCTCATTATTGATTATTTTACTTAGGTTAAAGGTAAAAACGAGTGGAATGCCTAATAGCAGTACTCTATAAAATCACAATAATTAAAACACTGAGGTACCTAGACAAGGCCAAACAGAGGATCAACATAACAGAATAGAAAGACTATAAACAGACCCGAATTTACTTACTTTGTATATGATAACTATTATATTTCAATTCAGTAAGGAAAGAAATACCTCATGTTGGAATAGTTGGTTAACTATTTGGGGAATAAAAGATTTATCATATATCAAAATGAGTTTCAAAAAGATTGAAGTTTTAAAGGTACACAGAAAAAACTGATGAAAATAAAGGTAAACACTTGTATAAATATTGAGTGTTAAGGAGCTTCAAAGTAGGTGGGGGAGGGAGCAATTCAGAATAATATTTGCTTGGCAAAAAAAAAAAAAAAATCATAAATAACAAAAAGCCAGGGGAAAACTGGCAACTCAGATGTCAGAAAAAGTTTATTATACTTGATACATGAGTTCTTGTAAATCAGTAAGATCAAGATGAATACCCCAGCAGAAAAAATGGGCAAAGGACCTGAACAGGCAAAACAAGAAATACAAATGGTCAGTAAACAGGTGAAAAGATATTCAATTCCCTTAATAATTAAAGAAACATAAAAGCAATGTCATACCATTTATTAACTTGCAAATTGGGAAAGATTGTAAAACAATACCTAATGCTGGCAAAAGCATAGAGAATAAGCACTCTCATATAATGCTAATATCCTAGTATAAATTGGCACATTTTCCAAAGATTAATTTGGTAATACATATCAAAATCTTTAAAAAGTGAAAACCACTCATACAACAATTTTACTTCTAGACATTTACCCTGAGGAAAGTACGTAAGAGACACCTTCAAGGTTGTTATATGTAATCTTAAAAATCTGAAGATAACCTAGACATCCAACTGGAGACTGGATAAAGACGACACTCACGAAATGAAGTAGTAATGCTGTTATGAAAATTAAGTTGTAAAAGTATGTTTATATTGATATGGAAATATACTTATGACATACTGTTACAATACACAGATGAGTAATTATGATTTCATTATTTCATTTATCAAATAAACCAGCAGGACAGAAATCTCTAATGACTAGATGAACAATCACTTAGAAATAAAGAATTACCAGCAATCATACATGTAAACATTATTCTGCCTCAGTTCCAAGGCCATTGATACGTAGTTTGTTGTATCTCCAACTTCTATAATTTGTTAACAGACTCTATAAAATTCACCCTGTGAAGAAATAAGTTCCCTTATCATCTGTGGAGAGAAACAGGCTTCAAGTTTTAATACTGGAAGAGTTAAGGCCGTGCTAATCTTCCCATGACCTTTTGTCCCACCTCTTCTGGTTACCTTAACCTACTGATACCACACAGCTGTTTGCTCTGACTTACTCCTCTAAGTATCTGCAATTCATCTATGCAACAGCAACAAAGTATTAATGCCCAGTTGGGATTTTTCAGTAAAAGCAAAATACTAGCATTCACCTGAGTCAGTGTATAGTATGTCACTGTGTAAATTATTTATATTCCCAAACAAGTCATCCAAAATGTTCCACACCATACAACCTCAATGGTGTCTTATCAGTAGATGGATTTTCAGCCTGTAACACTGTCAAAAGTCACTTAGTATGAAAATCTTACTTGGCATCTGTCTACCCATCCTTCACAAGCACTAATATTTTGTGATTACCATACCATGCTGTCAGCACAGAACAAGGAATAAATTAAAGAAGCATCCAGAGTCTTTTGACCGAAGAGATTAGAAAGGTTGTCTGTCTCAGAAAACCTTCTGCCCAGGCATTCACATCTCTTCAGCAAAACTGGTTTGGTATTCACTATCCACATGTGTGGGAGTTCTATAGTTTTCTAAGGCTGCCCTGGGGCTACCCCACTGAAAATGCTCTTCCCCTGTGAGGTACAAAGCTAGTAATGACCCACATCTTTCACTGGTAATGGGTGAGTACAAAGAAGCATGGCTGAGAATGGTCCTAGAAACTGTAACTTTGAGACAATCATTTCAAGATCTCCAAAATCCACAGCATGGCAGACATGCCTAGATACAAGATTGGACCGTCGACAAATCATTTTCAAATTTTACCAGACTACCTGTTCATGTATGATTCCTAAATATACTTTAGCTTGTTTATTATCTATAGTGTAATTTTATAGTCATGGAGTTTATAAAGTAAAAAGTACTAGGGGTTTTTGAATAAATCTTTTGCTTTAGCTTTCCTTTTTTTTTTTTTCCTTCCCTTAAGAAATTGGCAAGGAAACACTTGAAGAAAGCTTTCTTAGCTAAACTGTTACAAATTTTTCTGCACATCACAGTAAAAGAAGTGCCATGATGTCAAGGCTACTTCAGTAATATCCCCATCACTTTCATTTAAGAAACCATGCTGGTTCAGCAATGCCAGTGCTTCATAGCTAAAAAAAGACAAGGCATGATCAGTTTAATGGGCCAGAACATTGTTGTGGACTTGGGGCTTACGAGTTAGTGTCACCAAGGAGGCTAGAAAAGTACCCCAAATAGGAATTTGCTTTTGGGCAGCCATTCATGGCTAGAGAAAAAGCTCCCAAGAAAAAATAAAGGGGTGCTCCCAACCATTGTTATTTCTATTGCCATAGACAATTTGCCAATTAGAAAGACTTCCAGCTGGTTTTTACAAGAAGCTAGCTACTAGGGAGGAAGATTTTGGAGCCAGGAAAGATGCTCTTACTAATATATCTGAAAATGTGACTGGCACACAAATGGAAACTACACTTGGTGCTGTCTGTGCCCCTCACCTCGTGTTTAAACAAAACATTGCTCAAAAAGAGCCAACATAGGTCTCAGGTAAATATTTGGCCGGCATGGTCCAGTCCTCCAACTACATCATGGAAGAGGCTGCATAGGCCCAGCTCACTATTATTTACTCCCCATTGCTAACCGCCACACTGTCTCATGATCTTGTTTCTCCAGTCTCTACAAAAGGTTTAAGATTAACCAACGTTCCTCCTTGGAGGGTAGAAAACAAGTGATAATAATCTAAGGATGAAAACCAAACAAAGCATCGCATCTGTCTTGTGACAAGAAAAACCAAGATGTCGCCAGATAATCCCAAAGAATGTCACCAGATAATCCCCCAAAATGTCAACAGATAACCTCCAAGAATACCCGTAGAAGATTAACTCATCTGAGACATGACCACCTCAAGGGGGAACTAACAGACTTCTAAGACCCATAATCCTGTCCCGATAAAAGCCATCAGCCAATCTCCAGTGGGCGAGATGGGTTTTTTTGAGGAATCTATTACCCTCTGTCTCTTATATATTGACATATAATAAACCTCCTGCTGCTCACCTTACCCATCTCAGAATTGGCTATTGCAGCAGACGGCTCCAATCCGAGTTACTGCAGTAAGAAATTTGGTGGCCCGTATGGGGAACTCCAGCCGCTTGAGATGCAGCGGCCCCAGGCAGGGCCTGGGGCTGATCGACAGCTCCCCGGACAAGCAGCTGCGAAAGGTTTCATTTGCCTCTGGGGGGACTGTCGGCCAGACCTGGGTCTGTCATGGCACCGCTGGTCCCCCACCGTGCCAAAAGAGGTGGGTGAAAGAAAAGCAAGACCTGCACAGGAGGGATCCCAAGGTAAGTCCGTGACTCCTCTTCCTGTTGTGCTCAGGGCCGGGGTGAATAGGGCAGGCCCGAGGTTTCCAGAGCGGGACCTGAGTCCTTGGTTTCTGGAGTGACAGGTGCCCCAGATGACCATCCTCATGAACAGGCTCACAAGTAGGGACTCCTGGTGACTCTAGAGTCCTGGTTCTGGGTGTGTGAACGCTCTTGTGTCTGGGAGGATGAGATTCTCTAAGATCACCTGTGTCCGCAAACAGAGCCATCTGAGAGGTTGAAGGGGTCAAGATCACTCTGTCAGCATACGGGATTTCTCATGACTGTGTCTGGGAGGTTGAGATTCTCTAAGATCACCTATGTCGGCAGACAGAGCCGTCTGAGAGGTTGAAGGGGTCAAGATCACCTCCATCAGCTTGCAGGATTTCTCGTGAGTGTGTCTGGGAGGTTGAGATTCTCTAAGATCACCTCTGTCAGCAGACAGAGCCGTCTGAGAGGTTGAAGGGGTCAAGATCACCTCGATCAGCTTGCAGGATTTATTTGTTTACTGTGGTTTCGTGTCTGTCCTGTCATTGTCTGTGTGTAACTAATATTATACCATCTACTTGGGAGCCCTGATTTGGCTGTTAAGAGAAAGCTTCAGAAAAAAAAAAAAAAGGTAGATTTTCAGATAGACCGTTTATAATAAATCACCACTGTGCTCAGAAAAGAGGGACTCGCCCACTGGTAAAAAGGTGCACACCGGAAAAATACCCATCATGGGAGGAGGCCCGTCTATCCCAGCCAAATCTCCTCTAGGCTGCATTCTAGCAAACTGGAAGAGGTATAGCTATGAGCCTATGATAAAGAAAAAAATGATATGCTTATGTAACAATGTATGGCCCCAATGCCAGCTGGGGGACAAGCAACACTGGCTCCAAAACGGGTCTTTGGCTTACAGCGCAATTTTTCAGCTTGACTTGTTTTGTAGAAGGGAAAAGAAATGGGATGAAGTTCCCTATATTCAAGCTTTCATGTCTCTCCATCAAACTTTGAATCCCTCTAATCAGGTTGTTTTCCAGGGAAAGCCAAAGGCAAAAATGCTTCCTGAATCCTCACTGGAGGATTCTCTCTTAGAAGGGCTAACCCTGACAACTGCTTCGGCTCCCCCTCCTCCATATGGGGAAGGTGCAGTGGAAGCTGACAGATCGGGTCGAAGAATGATGACAGAATCCCCCACCAGAAGGGCCGAGCCTGATTCTAGTTCAGCCAGCTTGGGAGAAACTGGTGAAGGAAGGGAATCAGGAAGTAAGAGTCTGACTTCATTAGGTATGGTCTCCCCCCATTACACT